ATGCTGTAAAAAAGTAAAATGCAGACATTTTAGCACACTTTCTTTGTTTAAATGCTGTTTTTTATGTTTTAGCAGTTGCGCACAGTTTTTGATATTAAGGAAGCTGCAGTTGTGCCGTTATCTCAGCACAGCCAACCTTTGTGGACAGCTCTCTCATTGCTCCTCATTGCTCACTAGCAGCTCAACACAGAGTCACAACATTTCACACACGGTGAGCCAACAGTGTCCTAGTTAATCTGATAACAGACTTACAGGGAAAAATATTTTACTTGATTGTATTAATAGAACAAAAAAGTGGATTTCCATTCCGCTAGCGGAACAGCCACTAAGGGGCCTGCAGATAGAGGCTACAGATTGACCTGCATTGATTAAAAACAATTTCCTTTTACACACACACACCATTTTACACCCAGTCACCCACAGAAACATTCATCTGGAACTGTGATTGGTCAGGGTGATCACAGCACACAGATTGATTAGATCACTCATTTGCATATTGGAGCCTTCTGATCATTGCAAAGGCCAATAATGTGAAAACGATTAACAAATGGGGATGCTTTGTAGCGGCCACACAAGGTCACCATGTCCAATACTGGTTAGAGGGGTAAACAGCCCCCCAGCACTGGACTGTGAAGCGTGGAACGGTGTTCTGTGGAGTGATGGAGCTCTATCCAATACCTTTGGGATGAGTTGGAGTGGCATTTGTGATCCAGAACAAATCATCCGACATCAGCACCTGATCTTACTAATGCTCTTGTGTCCGAATGCAATCAGATCCTCACAGCAATGTTTCAGCATCTATTAAAGCCTTCCCAGAAACGTAGAGGCTGCTACTGCAGCAGAACTCCCTGTTAATACCCTGGATTTCAGAAGAAACATCAGAAGAAACATGAGCAGCTTATGGTCATGTTTAAAGCTTGTGATTCATATAGTTCGTCTATTATAGTCATAAATACTCTTGAATTAAAGCTGACATTCAGCACTCTAACCTCCTCATTATTGTTACAAATCCAGAGTGCTGGTGTACAGAGCCAAATCAACAAAAGCAGTAACTGCACAGTTACTCATGGACTGCACTATATATAGATCCATAAAACTGTATACAGCTCTACTCATCCACAGATGTGGTCGCACACCTGACATTAAAATGAGATGTGAAACTTGCAGATGAGAGATCACGTGACTAAATGTAGTCTTTTTTTATGATTGGTGTATTTAGAATCCTTCCCTTGTGACCGACCAATCATAATGAAGCATGGAATATCTGTTTGTAGTAAGGCAAAAGTTTCATGTTGTCTTGAGGCAACACTGCAACAGAGGCTTCACATTTAATACAGTAATTCTGTCTGTTACTTTTTAATAAAGGTGACTTGAGGCCTGTTGTGCCATTTCAGGCTGTTTCTCAGTGTTGCAGAGTTTGTGACCACTTTATCTCATTCTGTATCCTATTATACCTGTCAGTAGTCAGTCTTGAGGCACACTGTATGTTGTAGGTGATCACACATGTAGCAAACACACACACAGACACACACACACCTCTCCTTTAGGCTTGTGTGCTGCTGTATCTGTGGCCCATGTGCTGAATATTTCAGCAATGTCTACAGTTATTCACAGCCCCCTGATTCCCTCTTCTCTTTCTAATGTATTTATATATATATATATATATATATATATATATATATATATATATATATATATATATATATATATATGATAAAGAAAATGAGAAAGCAGGAGAGAAAGAGTGGAGTATCTCTGTCATATTCTCTGTCTTTTTGTTCTTTTCTCTCTCTATCATTCTGTCTCTTCACTCTCTCCCCTCTCCTCACTCTCAGCCTCTTTTTGCTCTTTTCTCTCTCTTGCTCTTATTCTTCTTTATGCTCTAACACTCGCCCTCGCTCTTTCATTTTCCATTTCTCTCTTTCCCTCATGTCTCACCTTCTCATTTGCTGTCTCATAGTCTCATTTTCTTTTTTCTCTCTCTGTCATATTCTGTCTCTCTTTCTTGTTCTCTCTTGCTCTCAATCTTCCTCCCTCCCTCATCTCTTTCTCTCTCTCCCTCACTTTTCTATCATTCGTCATCTCTCACCCTCTCGCTTATATTCTCTTTTCTTTTTCTCCCCTCTCTCTTTCTCCAACTCTTGCTCTTCTTCAGTCTGACATACTCTCATTTTGCCCTTCTCTCCTTTCTCTCCTCCCTCTTACTCTTGCTCTTGTTTTTTTCTCTCTCTCTTCCTCTCTACCTCTCTTGTATGTCTCTGTCTCTCTCCTTCTCTCTCTCACTATCATTCTGTCTTTCCACTCTCTCATATTCTCTCTCTGTCTCTCTCCCTCTCTCTCTGTCTCTTTTGCTCTCTCTCTCCTTCTCTCTCTCTTTCTTTCTCTCTCTCTCTCTATCCCCCCGTCCCTCTCTCTCCCTGCGCTAAAACTGCCTGACACAGTAAAACATTGAGATAGATGGCTGTATTCCTGCAGGACGGCAGTGTGTGGAGTAGGCTGGGTGATAATGCAGTGCTTTGTCATACTGTCTGTAGCCTGTGTGTAATGACCCCTTGTTTTCACAGCAGCTGTATCACCACAGCACTGCCCCGTTCTCTCGCGCAGCTGCTCCCTGTGCTCATGCAGCTGCTGTACACCCTTCACTACCATTACTCATTATCAGCATTATCTGCATACGCCGCCTCTGTATTAAAGGTTACCTGGCACAACAAGACAGGATGTTGTTATATCGCTTCCTATTTGCGTAGAAGGAAATGTGCATTTGCTTGGGGCAGTTCCCCATCACATATTTGTTTACATGACACTGGGACAGCAGGTTGGAGCGTAACTGTAATGCTAGGTTACTGTGATATTGGCTGGTGCATACTGAGCAGTTATAGTTAAGGAGTCCTGAGGCAGAAAAATCTGATTAACACAATTTTCCCCTCAATTCAACTGTAATCAGTCACCAAAGACATGTTTGCTTTTTTTAGTTTTGCACTAACGCTGTGAGGCTAATGTAGCTTATTCCCTCTTTGGTTAGCATAGTTTCTGACAGAGTACTATAAAATAGCAAAACTGTGCCACAAAGCTAAAAACAGTTGCAGCCTTAGCATTTTGTGGTGTATCTTGAAGCATGATTTTTTTGTCTTTGTCCATTTTTGTACCATTTTGATACCAATCATACAGTATCATGAGTCACATCATCTCTAATATATAATAATATTTATTTACTGTTATTTAACAATGTGTAATGATTTAGACAAACAGTTTGCATGATGCTAATTAGTGCCTGTAAGCTTCCATTACTTGTTAGCTACATTAGCCTCCTAACTCCAATGCAAAACTAAAGAAGAAGCCTTCAGGCACCAAACATGTCTTGCCTGATCCACTACATTTGGGCTAAGGGGGAATATTGTGCTTATCTGATTTTTCTCTGAGTCCCTTAAGAAAAACAAAAGTAATGTGGCTAATGATTAAAGATTAGTAGAGTGAATGTATTCAACCTATCTGATGTCAGCAAGCTTTCCTTCATTACTAGCAATGATAAGTTTGAATGAAGTATTCTTTTAAAGGTGCAGCGTGTAAGATTTAGTGGCATCTAGTGGTGAGGTTGCAGATTACAATCAACTGATTACCCTTCCCTCACCTTTGCAAGAGTATGCAGGTACATTTTTTGTTTGTCAAGGTACAATGTAAATGTTCCCCTTAAAGGTACAACAGTGGTTTTAAGGTCTAATTGTGTTCCTTAAATAAGTTTTTTTCCAGGCAAAAAGTATGTATTTGTATTTTTTCATAACTTAAAGTTTTGAAACAAATCAATAAAATAAAAAGCCTGGAGACGAGACGGGCTGTGTGGAGTCAGTACAACTTAGAAAATATAATTTCAATGGATTCTGGTAGCCTATGGTTGCTGTCATGTTTTCGCTTCTTTGACAACAGATTCACCCTCCATTGCTTTTTCTTGTGCTAAATAATAAATTTGATCCTCCGTTTCTCAAAATTTGGGTTCTCAAACTTCTCACAACACATAGTGGTTAGTCAGCACCGGCATCGACCACTGTTTCTTCTTCTTTCTTTGTCTTCCAACTGGTGCTATAGCGCCACCAAATTCAAGGTGCTGCTTCACTGTAAAAATGTGAAAGGCACTCTCTAGAGCCAGTGTCTGGTTTGTCCCATCTGGGCTACTGTAGAAACATGGTGGTGCAACATGACAGACTCTGTTGGTAGAGGACCTGCTCCTGTGTAACTGTAAAGGCCTCATTCTAAGCTAACAAAAACACAGCAGTTCATAGTCACAAGTGATTATACACTAATGAAAACATGGTTTTGTATACTGTATTCCATTTTTGCCAGTAGATCCCCTAAATCTTACACACCCTGCACCTTTAAAACATTGGAAGGCTATAAGACTGGAAGGCCATGTGTTTGCTTGTGAGGAATTTTATAAGATTGACAAAAACAAAGCTTTTACTGTTCAGGCAGGGATGTTGGTAAGCTTCATTATTTGCAGTCCACAATGAATAGAACAGAGCTCTATTTACGCTTGAAACGGAATTTGTCCTGCACAGACAAGAGTCCTGGCAAGTCCAGAGAAGTCAGAATTCATACAGATTGTGTGACACTGTGGCTATATTATGTCACTTAGTATTTCGTACAGTTTGAAGTACACTGTATAGCACATAGTATACAAAAACCATTGAAGTCTGTACCTTAGTCTTTACCCAAAGTTCGCCTCACAATAGTTCAGAACAGTTATGTGTCCCTAATATAGTTTCCCAGTTGTTACACCTTTTTTGTACTGTTCCAACATTAAATACACCCTAAGCTGGTAATAACAGTGTTATAACCTTGCAATGCCTTCTTCCTCTGGACTTGGAATAGGGCTGCCTGATACTGTGATTGTTCACAGCAGCACACCATAAAAACATTGTGATTGATGGATATTTACCATTTAATTCCAGCTGGTGTGTATTCAGTATATTCAGTTATATCTCAGCTGTCCTGTTTTTCTCTCTCAGGCTCCGCTGGTGCCAGGACATGCTGGCATGAAGTTCACGGTGCTGGAGACGTTGGACCATATCAAAGAGGAGTTCCAGCTGTTCCAGGCCCAGTACCATAGGTGAGACTTAGCACACAGCAGTGAAACTAACAGAACATTAAAAGTACAGGATGTTATTTGAGGCATAGCATAGTAACGTTAGTATAACCTTCCAGTATACAGCGCTAAGATATCATTGTCATGATGCAGGTTGCTCTGCCCTGCTTGCTTAGACTTCAGAACAACTGAATGAGCAACAACACTAGCCTACTGCAGATTGGCCTACAATTAGGGCTGTTAGTTTAGCTTCCAGAATGCCCGCTGCCCTTTATTCCTGAGTTGCAGGATGTACCACTACTATCTTAAGTAGGATTTAGCGTATCAGACTTAATGCTGTAAGATCACTTGAATGATTGGGACAAGCTACTTTATAACCTGATTCAGGCTATTAGCTAGTGATCCTGTTAGCACATGCTGTGCTAGAGTGATATACGCTAATGTCTTTGATAAGAGCTTCAGGAAAAGTCCTCTGTTCTTTCTTGACTACTTAACTGGGGCATTTTGGCCTAAAGCTAGCCTTTAATATGTTATTTGTCATTTTGTAATATTCTGTAGCGCAGCACTGTGTTACTCAGCCTCATCAGTTTGTATGTTTCATCAGTATGTTTTTTGTCCAACAGTGTTCTCTCACTACAGTAGCCAGCATGCATTACGTAAATGTCATGTAACTATTGAGATAAACTGCAATAAAGAAATTGTGCTACCATAAAAAGCTATTTCAAACAGCCCACCCACAAGTATTAAACAAGTACAAATAGCAAGTAGTCGTTTTTGAAAAGTACCTCCCACCCTCAAGATATATTATCAGAAGGGGGGTTTCCTAGATTTTAAACATCCAAAAATATCTCATTGTAGAAACTGTTGTGGCACAGCTGTGGGAGGCAAGTAGACATATTTACAACGGATAAGCAATGGTTGTCTTTTTTATTTGGCTGGAGTGTCGCTTTAAGTAAAACATTAGTTATTGTTTACTTACAATTTAGTATCTGCTATAAATTGTTTTGTAACTACTATAATACTAATATGGAAGCTATGTAATTCCCTGAATTGGAGTGTGAACCGAACAAGTATGATATATTAATATTTATATATATAAAACAATAAAAATTAAGTAGTATTTCATGATATTTCCCCTACTCCACATGCTATTATGCTGCTAACTTTCATGATATGACATCATGTCTCTGGATAGGCTTTTTCAGTGTTATGCGTTGTGGCGTGCAATAAAAGAAGCCAAGCTAAGAGCAGCTACTCTTGTATATCTTCTCTCTCAGTCTGAAGCTGGAATGTGAGAAACTGGCCACTGAGAAGACAGAGATGCACAGGCATTACATCATGGTGAGTGTTCTTATTGCTATTGTGAATGACCTATAAATGCTGTTATGAGAGGAAGTAAATAAGAGTCTAAGGTCTAATTCAGAAAACAATGTTCTCCTCTTCCCGTAGCCTCCTTTCCCCGCATGGATAGCTCATGTTATTAGGGGTCTGCAGTTTGTATTAAATAAATATTGTAGCTCTTTCTAATTCCAGATAGTGTCTTTCAATTTACAGCCGCATTTCTGCAACTCTTGGAAGTAATCATTAACACTACCATTACATTAGGCTGCAAAACAAGGCATTGATTTGCTAAGTGGAAGAGGGCAGGCAAAGTGAGGGGCTAATTTTCATTTGTACTGGAAACAGAGCACATTTCCAGAGTGTATATATCAACCACATAACTGCGTATTTTTGTGTTTTTGCTCAGTATTATGAGATGTCCTATGGCCTGAACATCGAGATGCAGAAACAGGTAAGCAACTTCGCTGAAATATTAGGTATTAGGCCTGCTGTGTTATTAAATCTCCTGTATTATTAGACCTGCTGTGTTATTAAACTAGTTGTGTTGTTAGGCACTGTTCTTCTTGTTCTTCTGTTTTTTTTTCTTCTTACTGAAGTGACTGTCGTGGATGATATATTGTCTCATTTTTTATTTAGCTTCTTTTCAGTGACACACATTTTCTTTCAAATGAGCATACTAGGTGTGGGTAATATGACAACATTGTATCGTTATTGTGGTAAAGTGTGTCTCAGCATACTTTTCTGAGCATATCATGGATATATTCCATACTTAAAGAACCGTGACCACCATGTTTCATAAAAAAGTGAGTATAATTAGGCCTGTTTAATTGAATTTACAGTTTGTAAAACACTGAATAAAATCATTGTTGGTTTATTATTATTATTATTACTATTATTATTATTATTATTATTATCATAGTAATTTTTAAATGTGGCACTACAGGTTCTATTTTGTCTGTTCCAACTTATTAAATCTCACAAAAACTAAATATCAAGATACATATCGTGTATCAAACTGCCTTAATCATAATATATTTTTGCTGTATCACTCACCCCTAAAGTGCACTTCAGCTATGTTATTTAGCTATTGAAGAAAGACTCATGGAACAGTTTGGAGACTCACTTGGATGAAGAAGCTTATCTCATTCTTGTTGGATGACATCGTCATATAAGCTTTTAAAGCTTCTAATAGGCTAACACTTGTCAGTTTTTCAGACTATGGCCTCAGCCCATTCAAAGAAGAAGAGCATATTATCCAACCAGAGCACTCATTCAGTTCCTCAGTGCTAAAATCAGTTAGTAATGGGCTTCAGTGAGGGCAGAAAACATGGGCTAAGCTTATGTAGCAGTTTCCCACAAGAGTTAAAGGGATGCTCCAGCCAAAATTAAAAATGCAGCCATCGCTCCATCTGCTGTAAACATGACAAATTACATTTTATGGCCGTGCTGCCATCTCTAAGGTGAGATTTTCCAGTTTAGAAACTAAAAAAGCCCCCTTCTGATGGTGTATCTTGAAGGTGGGAGGAACATTTAGAACACGGGGCTTCAAATCATCATTACAATGGAGAGAATGGATTACTCAAACATCAGAAATGACTCATCAAGACAAGAAGCTAAAGGCTACAGTTAGCTAGGTATGGCTATCTGGATGTGTTACCTCAGTCTGGTTCCTTTTCTCTGGGTGAATAGGTAAAAAACCTTACATTGTTACGTCTTGACGTTCCCAAGACACAGCACTGCGTCTACTTGCATCTAACGTTAATCTGAATGTTTACATTAGGCTAACTATTTTGGATTTAAAACTATATATGATAAATCTATCATATTACAGATTGTGAAAAATTTTAAATGATTACTGTGGATGAGCTGCATCATGAAAAAAATGGAGATAAATAGATGTGAATGCTGTCTGTGTAGAGTGGATGGAAGCTAACATCAAGCTAACTGGTAATTCCAACACTGACACTAAGGCTAGCTTGTAGAATCCAGCGCTGAAGATATAGTAGGATAGTGACTGGTTTGTTTTTTATTTTGCTTTAATGAAAAAGAGAAACAACTGCCAGTGGTTTTCAGTTATGAGCTTCATTGTTCAATAAGTTTTCTGCTCACATTAAAATCTGCCCACAAACACACCCTCAACAAGCCATCAACATGTATCAATGTGCTTTTTAAATATTAAGTGCCTCACACATACATGCATATAGTTATCAAACATCTTGGACACTTAAAAAATAAAGTGAGAAAGCTTTTAATCTGGGCAGTAAGTGTTTATTTGCCCAAAAGCACTAATATTAGAATAAATACAAGTAACATTAGTACAATAAATAGTGATTTTTACATGTAATGTTTGCTTAACCATTTCCAAAACCTTCCTTATGGATGCCCAGTATTATTTGTATTTATCATCACATACTTGGTTTGTCTAATCAGTCCTTCATTATGTTGAATCAGGAAATGGCCAGGAATTTAACAAATCTTTGTGATGAATGGGGGCATTACAGTGACTTATGGAGCCAAATGTTGTTCTTCAAGCCACTGGCATAGGCAGAAATATATTTTTGGCTAGGCTTGTGAAAAAATGGGTAGACCAACTAGCATAATAGCGTAACATTTTCATTGGAAAGGCCAGGCCCACCCATACCAACGCGTGTTTACACCCTTGCTTCAGACTAGCTCACAACATATCAACTACTTTTTTGAAAGTCTTGTTACTTTTTACTGTATTATGTTTATTTATGTGTATTTTAATGGTATATGGTGTTTTTACAAGCAAAAAGACACTTACTGCCCAGATGAATATGATTAAATGCAGTACTTAAGTACAATACTATATGCATGCATATGCACACACACACAAACACACAGAGTGGGCTAATCCAGATAAGACCCCTGGTGCTCTCCTCTTTTTCCAGGCCATCTGGATTTGAGGGTGTATGTGGGTCACTGTGGAAAAGCTGTAGAACCGCCTCTGGTTGTGTGTGTTTCGTGTGTCAGAGAGAGAGTGTGTGTGTGTGTGTGTGTGTGTGTGTGTGTGTGTGTGTGTTTGCTTTACTTCACAAGTGAGGGTGTGTATGCATCTTCGATTGAGTGTATTCATCCATCCCTGACTCTGAGATGCTGGTTCACGCTTTGTGGAGCACTGAATGCAGTGAAATGAATAACAGTGTACTGAAGTGTCCACTAGGGGGCAGCAGAGATTGTTTTTCTTACATCTCCAAAGCCTGTGGGTTGTTAAATGCGTATTTCAAAGGCTGCTTTGCTGCTATCATCAGCAGCATATTCCAGGTAATATACATGCATATAGCCCTTCAGAAGGACGCTGACAGGAGCAGTAGCACTCGCTGGTGTGTGCTTGGCCCCCTATTGTCATGTTTACTGTGTCCTCTGCTGGCTGATGAGATTTTCTCTGAGCTCTGTGTGTGTGTGTTTCCCCCTGCAGGCAGAGATTGTAAAGCGGCTCAGCGCTATATGCACTCAGATCATCCCTCTCCTGTCCCAAGAGGTGTGTGAGCGAAACGATTGCTGCACAGACACACATTTACCCACACACAATCATTCGTAGCCCTGCATTAAATTGTTGCTTTCTAAGGGGGCCCACTCTTTCTCCCCCCTCCTTGTGCCTGTTTAGACGTTAATTATTTACAAGAGAGCTGGTCATCAGCAGTCTGATCTCCGCCCCTTTCATCCATCAATATTTCATGCAGCTTTTTTTACCAGGCACATGGAGAGCATCTGGGGATTTTATAGTCATAATACCCTAAAGGAACCCAGTAGGAATAGGAGCAATAGCAGGAAATATGCTTGTTTGTTTGGCTGAACTGAAGTAAACAGTTCTTTTAAAGTTTTATATTAAAGTCCCTCTATCACTGTTGAATAAAATAAATACTAATTTAATGTATTATTTAAGTTTTGTTTACCATTCACTCCCCAATCTAGACAGTCCATATGCAAACTAAGTTGCAAAAACACCTGTTTTGAAGTCATTGTTTTTGTGATGTCAACCATCGCATTTAGATACATACATTGTATGCAAAAGTTTGAACATCCTTAGTCAAATGGCATGTTTTGCTGATTTTCTGAGTGAAAATAAGTAAATAACACATCCTCTACAGTCTCACAGAAACATTAGGTTATGAAAAGGTGTGTACCCTGGGAAAAAACATATTTAGGGTACACAGTTAGACCTTAAAACCATTGTTGTACCTTTGGGGGTACATTTACATTGTTTGTACCATGATTAACAAAACATATACAGCATGGTACTTTTCTTTATGACAGTGTACAGGGAACTTCTGTATGTTTGTATTTTTCTGAAAATTTTAATGTACCGTTTCTTTTTATTTGCTGGTTTGAACATATGTTGACATGTAATTTACCCCCGGATGTTAGATTTGGCAAGTAAACTGTAATTGTGCATTAAAATGTGCAGAAGTGTGTTCTCTGTAGATGTGTTAACTTATTTTCACTTAGAAAATCAGTGAAACAAGTAATTTGTTCAGGGTTGCCCAAACTTTTGCATACCTCTGTATATCTGCCTGTTTTTTAGTTTAGTCTCACCCATTCACATTAGACTTATAAGGAGTGTTTCAGCCCATACTGCATTTTTTTATGAGGCCAGCTAATCAGAACAGAGGTAATTTGCATATACCAGTCTTAAAGGCACAGTTAGAAAAACAGTGTGTCTAATTCTAAGGGTTAAAGAGAGTTTAGAAAATGGTCATGTGAAAATTAACTGCGACATAAACCCACACTGGTATCTGAAGTGGGCATCAGAAGGACACAATAAAATTTGCATTAAAGTAATACGTCAGTATTTTTCTGCCAAATCTCTACCTACCACATCTCTAGCATATGCTCAGTTACCACAGACAGTATTTCCTTGCATTTAGAAACGAACACAAAACCTGTTGACTCAAAATACACTTAAAATAGAAACCAGTGGGAAGAAGTTTCAGCAGCTGCCCATTGGCTTCTGTTATGTGTGCTTCGAGTTAGGTTTATAAGTTGTCTAGCAACACCTTAGCAGCCACCTGGGATATTACAGCAATGGCCTAGCAACACCTAAGCAACCACCTACAATACCAAGCAATGTTACAGCAACACCTTAGCAACTACCTGGGATAGCATAGTAACGGCTTTGTCGAACCAACTTTGTTTGTTCACTGATTTTCCTCTTCTAGTTTTCTATTCTTTTTCTTATTCCTTTAGGTGTCTAACTTATTATCCATGGCAATCGTCTGTGCTACAGATGCCTCAGAGAGAAGTTAGGTTAGAAAAGACAGGAGTATTCCTTTAATGTGAACAATTGCTTATGTTAGAGGGGTTGTAATCGTTTCCCTTTTTGTTATGAGAACACTACCAGAGGGGATGTTTCAGTGGAATTAATTTTCACAGGAACAGGGAACAGACTAACAAGTGTGTTCAAGTTAACTGATGAGCTAAGTGATGATTGTTATCAGAAAATCCCATTTTCTGGTTCTCACTTAAGGTGTTGAGTTATTAAGGGGAGGATTTAACCTACTTGGCACTAATAGGTAGTTGATGTATAATGTGTATCCTAATATGTGTGTGTGTGTCATGCAGCATCAGCACCAGGTGGCCCAGGCAGTCGAGAGATCCAAACATGTGAGCATGGCTGACCTGAACGCCATCATAGGGGTCAGTCACATCCTCCTTTTCATCCACCTGACCAATTACACGTCATCATGCTACTAGCCTTACCAGTCATGTCTGTGATACTGTTTAATCCGTACCAAATCCTCTATGTATAGTATCAGTTTGTTGAATGAATGTGTAGCCCAGAACAGAACTTCAGCTCATCTTCATTTCCAAGAAGTAATAACTTTACCTTTGGTAGATCTGTTTGATTAGCATAACAAGACTTATAAGTCGCAGTATTCATTAAGTGGTCCACAGTTACATGCACGCAGGCATTCTGGTGCGTCCAGCAATTGCTCTGGTCAAATCTGGTCAAAATGAATGTATTACAAAAATATTATAAATATGAACAAGTATTCAGTTCCTATTTTAGATGAAAATAAATTGTAAACCTAAAACTATGTCATGATAAGATAACGTCTCTTTTACGGCTTACATGCAAACTTTTCGCCTTTCTGCGAAATTTGACACTTTGAATGCTGAATATGCCTTTTACATGAATTATGTAGAAAAGTTGTTAACTTTAGTAAAGCGGGAGATGGGGGTATTGGAGGTTCTGCTACCAGCACATCATTCTGAGAGAGAATCCCTCCTCTCCCCTAAATACATCACAGCAGCAGTCCACAGTCATTAGTCAGCCAACCCACAGATATAATATTTCATATTTATAGACCAATCAGAACTAAGATAACGTTGCTGAAAGGTCAGAAGAGAGCCGCGTTCATATTCTCTCTTCTAATGGTGGGTAAAAAAGGTTAACATGCATACATTATTATTGTTAACATCAGAAACAATCAGTTGCCATTTAGTTTGTGTATGAAATTGTTGTAGAACACTTTGTTTAGAGCTAAACGACTGTCTACGAATTACATCACAAAATAGCGATCATCAGGGCCCAAGAACCGTGTGCCATTATGGAGCAAGTAGAAAGAATTTTTAGAATGGCCTCTATTTATAAAAGATGTGGGGTCTCAAAAAGATGCGTGCCAAATTTCATACATATTGACTATTTAAACTTGCTATGGTAAACAACCAAATTTGCTATGGAAATAAACCAAAATGTTTAGAAAATTATATTTGGAAATGATTTGTAGTTGCATAGTCTTTAAACTTAATGAACTAAATAATTCCATGGCAGTTACTCCTGCGTTCTTGTCTCAGAGTGTGCGAGAGTTTAATGTTTAAATCACTAAATTGGAATGATGCCACTGCATCCCGCGACAGGGGATTAGTTTCTGAACTGTTCACTTACTGCTCATGAGTTTTCATGTCTGTTATGTGCTGTATTCTTAAAAGCCTTAAGACCCAAGCTTTAGCATTAGCTAGAAAAGTAACTAAATAATAGACGTGGGCATTTCAGTCAAAGCTGATATTCGAATTTGTAAAGCATTATTACTAGAAAACTACTAGAAAAATGTAATTAGTTTCACCTCATACCTTTAAGATGGAAAACAGTGTGCTTGTGAAGAGTAAGTTAGCTCATGCCAAACCTGATGCATTTACTATGATGTCAAAAATAAAAAAAAAACTAAAATTTAAAATCATGTACAAGTAGAGTGCAAAATGACCTTAAGCTTGTTGTTTTATGTCACTTTTCTGCAATACGATTTGTCACTTTTAGGCAGTGTCTGTGTGGTAGCCTTTAGACAGCTGCAGTAGTCCTTCCTTCTTTGGACTATGCAGATTAGGGTTGAGATATGTTGAGATTATACCTGTTGTAAAAATATCATATGGATCACTTTCATAAGTCTTTTGCATCTGAGCTCTTGGTGACATTCTCCCTCTCAATCTGTCTCCCCACTGAAGCAACAACAACTGCAGCATCTTTCCCATCATGCCCCAGGCTTCTCCCTGACGCCACACCCCTCAGGTTTGTCTCTGGGAGCAGGGGGTCTCATGGCACTCCCAGCGGCCTTTCCCTTCCCACCACACCTAGCGCCTAAAGATGACATCGCTCACCCTGAATCTCTGGATCCTAGAGGTAAAAAACAAATTGATGTTGATTTATTGATCACTGTCGTAAGAAAACCTTGTATCTCCAGAGCTGCAAGGTTATAGGAGAAGGAAAAAAAACATCCTTGACCTCATAAGCAGCCAATTAAATTCTCATAACTGTAAAACTTCTGTTTTCTTAGGTAATATACAATACTGTGCAAAAGTCAGAGATCATACTTTCGTTTATTTGATACTGTGTTTAATATCAAGTGTAGCTGTATTTAGTTTGTCCATCGTTTACTTTTGTGCACCTACAGCCACTTTAACTCTTTTGTCCTTCCAATCTTAAAACCAACCAGTTTCATCTGTGTCCTTCTAACAAAAGCTGCTTCCAAAGCCGTCACTTACATTATGTTCCCCTTTAAAGAGACACGTCACACAAACAACTACCTAAAAACACCTGGGCTGCCTTATCTTTCTCATGTACATCTTAAATGGCTAAAGGAGACATTTCTAAGGAGGTTAGATGTAAGATAATCATGTTTGAAGAAGGAGAAAGTCAAAGGATAATACAGGAAAAACAGAAGATTTCAAATGTAGAGTTTAAAAACAATTAAAAGATGCAGATGAAATGGGACTCTTAACAACCATGCAAGAGCTGGTAGACCATCAATCAATCAAGCTCCACTGTTGATTCAGATCTGAAAAAATCCACAGGTGTTTCTGTCCATCCTTCCACTGTGAGAAGACTCAACACTGGGAGTCTAAGTATGTGTAGCTGTCAAGAAGCTTAGAAAAGGAAATGGTCAAAAAAGGAAATCTCCACTGGACATCCAAACTGGACATCTGAGATGTGGAGTAAGGGGTTATGGACTGATGAGTCTAAATTTGTTTGGGATTGCTTGGATTGTGAGAAGCAGAAGATGCAACCAACTCTAAGACTGAACTTTGGAGGAAAAATATTCCTGCGGATTTCTTGGAAAAACTGAAGGCGAGTCTCTTAAAGTGTTGGATTAATCACGGACACATTTTTTTGGCAAGCCTCGACCCATCCTTGCTTATAAAAAGATTTCTTTTAAAAGCTGAAAGCAAGTCTCCTGAAAAGAATGGAAGAAATGGCTTTAATCTAGACAAAGTGTGGACACACTAAGTAGAGAAAAAAATATATTCAACCATTATGTCTCTCTGGTTTTCTATTAAATGTATGTTTTAATGGTCATTTTGACTGGAAATTATATAAATGAAAGGGTGCTCTGACATTTGCACAATACTGTAGTTGCTATAATGATTATATACAGTTAGTTAGTTTAATAACTAAATAATAAGCGGATGTTTTAAGGGATTAACATAGCAATGTACAGGAATGTGAATAGCCAGGGGATTTTAAAGTGTACTCTTGGACTATTTCTGTTGGTCAATTTGTCATGAAATTTTTACACATTGCAATGCACTGCTGTCATTTTCAAACGAAAGTAATGGAGTTACAAGGTTTTCTTATGATTAAACATATGATAAAGATAAAATAGCATAAAATATGAGTCATTTGAACAGTCCAGATAACTCTAAAATTGTGACATATGAATGTGTAACAACCCTTTAAATAAAAGCTCAAAACTTCCTTTATTGTTCTAGATGGCGCACCAAATCGGGTGAGTATCATATGGTCACATACTTTAGTGTGAATGTCTGAGTGCAGATGAATGACTTGCATTAGGGATAGTTTGGCTGTGTTACTTATATAAGCTGGGCATTCTGCCTTGTGAATTGCCCTGTATAATGCAGCTCTAGTCTATAGCCTCTTATTGATTTTATGTTTTATGTATGTGTGTGACTGCTTGTGCAATGAGTCTGCGTCCCCACAGGGCAATCAGTCACTGAGCTAAATGGAGCTTGCATGGCTTTAGGGTTTATTTCAGCACTATGCTGCTTAGATTGTTTATTCATTTATGTGCAGTTTTCCATTGGCTATTACATTGAAGTGGCAATGTGTGAGTACTGTGTGTGCTGCAGGTGGTCATATGTTGTTACCCCATTATAGAATCGATCAATGCAAAAGTTTGAGAGCAAGACTTTGTAAAAATAATCATTATTCATAACTTATTTATCATTAGGTTTACAAAGCGATTCATAGCATTCGAGACTAAAGATTAGTAACTGATTAAGAATAAGCCTGCAAGAGGTTAGGTCAGATGTGTTGAATTAATGAAGAATTTGACTTTGTAAAGACTTTATAAAGAATTATTAAATGGCTAATGTGTGTGACTGTTATCAACAAACAGTGTAAAGGATTCTCCCATAGAATATGGAAGAATAAGTACAGTAACTAGATCTTAATAAACATGTTTTGTTAGTTGTTGGCAAATTATTAGTTTTTTTTTATTTAAAAATCACTGCTTGCTTCCTTACTTTTGACCTGTGTACAGTCATATGCAAAAGCTTAGGTGCCGCTGGTCAAGTGATGTGAAAGTGAAAATAAATTAACACATCCTCTACAGAGAACGCACTTCTGCACAGTTTAATGCACAGCTAGTGTTTATTTGCTGAATGTAACATATTGGAAAAAAATGAAAACCTCTGCAAAAGTTTTGGCACATTTTATATTTTATGTTGTATTTTTCTAACATGTTAAACTCAGCAAATAGGTAGACGTTGTGCTGTAAAATTTGCCAAAACCTCCATATTTGTGGTTTGTAGAGCTGTGGCTCCCCATTCCAGTCCTGTCGACTGAACACTGCACGATTGTGTTCTTTGTCTCATCAAGTTCCCCTGATACAACTAATTAACTAATAAACAAGCGCCTTGTTGGTGCAGTGAAGTGTGTAGAGTAGCATAAACACAACAATGTGTGGAGCATAGGGTAGCTGGAACAGGGATTTGGGACCCCGGCTGTGTGTGCTGTCTGCTTATTTTTCACAGTCTGCTTACCTTTTTCTGACAGTGTAAAGGGGTTGTTAACTTATTTTCACTATTTCACAAAATCAGCAAAACATGTGATTTGACCAGGAGTGTTCAAACGTTTGGGTAGTGTGAGTCTACTATGTAGTAGTCCTGGGGTATTGATATCGTTATGTAGTGATTATGACCTGTCATCATATTGCTTTTCAGTTTCAGCAATGCTGTGTCGCTATGTAACTAAATATAATGAACAAATATATAAATGCAACACTTTTGGTTTTGCTCCCATTTTGCAAAAGTTTGATAAAAAAATCCAAAAATTGGTGGCACACCTGATGCTAATGCGGGAATTCTGTTTCATGACACTGTTTTTTGCCGAGTTTCACTAAAATCTTTTCAGTAAAAACTGTTGTGCTTACATTTTATTCATTGTACATAAGATAGCAGTGTGTGTGTTGCTGAGCTGCTTGTTTCTAGCATTTTAATTCTATTTTGTGCACTTTTTACTTTATGTACAATGGTATAGGAATATCTCAGTGGCAGGCAATTGCTTAACAAAGTTTTTGCCATCAGACAGATGTTTAGATTTAAACCGATATTTCAAACTGATATTTGATGGCATATTTGTTCTCCAGAAGAGCAGAATGTTTAAGTGATGCTGGGTGACTCTGCTAAAATACCTACACTTTATTTATTTTACTGCATTTGTAGCCCTACATGAGTAAATGTTATGTTTCTCTGTAATGCTAATCCAGGTAGATTGAGTCTCAATTTCTACCTTTTTATATGTTTATATATCAGCATTGACCGATATACACATGAAAAATATCTGATAGCGTCATCGGCACACAAATCCTATATCAATGCATCAATAATGTAATTTACTATGTACTTCAGACTGTGTTTAAAGTACAGTTTAAAATCCATAAAAAATCAAGTAACCAATAACTTTCCATTCTGTAAATATGGTTACTGTGTAGTTTACATTTACTCTTTCAGTACTGTGTGAGGTTCCCTTCAATGTTATTTTTAAGAGGAAGAATTCAGAGCAAAACTGTTTAATCAGAGCAAATTAATGCATATTTAAATAAATATTCAACATTTTGATATTGATTTTAATAATTATTGCCTGGAACTATAATGTAGTTGCATACGTTTGGCCTGTGTATGTATATGTAGTTGTGTATATATGGTATGTATTGTGAAGTGTTGGATATGTAAATGATACATACTGTATACATAATACATATGCAAAAGTATGGACACCCCTGGTCAAATTACATGTAAAAATAAGTTAACACACTTCTGCACATTTTAATACGCAATTGCTGTTTATCTACTGAAATTAGCATACTGGGGAAAAATGAAATGTGGCCTGTGCAAAAGTTATTGCACATTTTATATCTTGTGTTTTTTTTAACTCAGCAAAGAAATAGATACTAAAATTATTTAGATTATTATTTAGAAATTATTTAGAAAATGTCAGATTTACATTTGTTCCCTGTAAAAGGATGTAATAAGTTATTTTCTCTGAGAAAATCAAGACATCACAGAACAATTTAAGCAGGGTGTTGAAACTTTTGCATATGGCGGCAATAGTAAGCTGTGCAAAGTGGGCAGTACGTGCTTATGTGTGTTGGACAGGGTTTTGCGGACTTGTCTGCAATGGGTCAGTCAGTGGGGCAGAGGCTGCCTCTGTCTCTGACCTGCCCTCCTGAGACTGAAGCTGACAGCAAGAGGAGCAACACGGAGGAGAAATCCAGCATTAACACACCACGGGTAAAGCTCTGTCTCTCACACACACACACACACACACACACACATCCACCCTCTCGGCCACACGCTCACACACTTAGAGACAGTCATCTTGATGATGGCGCAGTGGGATTTGCCCACTGGCGCAGTTTTCCAGACAAACACTGTGCCACATCCTGGACTGAATTATACAGTTCGCTGTGATTCATCACTGTTCATATTTAGACTTTTTATTTGCACGGGAAATCGTTCGTTTAACTCCAGTAAGTCCAGATTTACTTTTGTTCAGATAACTTCCAGTCAAAATGGTCATTAAGTGCAGTTTATGAATTTTCCAGGAGATATTTCTGAGGAGATTTGATATAAGATAATTCACTTGCACAACAAATGGGAAAGTCAAAGGAAAATAGGTGCAAAAAAACAGAAGCTTCCAAAAGTAGAGTTCAGAAAATGATTTTTATCTTTGAGAGAGAGGAGAAAATCAAACTTCAGATCTGAAAACATCCACAGGTGTTTCTGTCCATCCGTCCACTGTGAGAAGACAGCTCAATGTAAAAAAGAAGATTTGCAAACTTTAACAAAGAAGCTGCTGGTGTTCTCGGATCAGTGCACTGACCACCCCAGAGTCCAGACCTTGACATCTCAGCATTTAATGTGTTTTGGATTACTTGGAAAATGCAATCAAATTTTAAGACTGAACTTTGGAATTGTGGAAAAATTTCCCTGCAGATTTCTTTGTAAAACTGAAAGCAAGTCTCTTAAAGTGTTGGATTAATCACTGACACATTTTTTGGCAAGTCTCGACCCATCCTTGCTCATAAATTGGATTTCTTTTAAAAGCTGAAAGCAAGTGTCCCAAAAAGAATGGAAACTGTAATGAAGACAAAGAATGGACACACTAAATACTGAAAAAAACCCAATTCCAAAAAGTAGTGAAATGCTACAAAACATGATATTTGATATTTTATCTTTTTGTGTCTATATATACTCAACCATCATTAATTTTTTTTTTCCAAAAAAGAGGAATTTTTGCCGTTCTTTTGTTTTACATGTCTGAACTTGCGTTTGTGGATGCAGTGATTTTTTTTTTTTTTTAACGCAGTGCTGTCTGAGTCAAGGGTCACAGGCGTTCTGTCCTGCACTCTAGAGGGTGAAATACTGAAGGTCTTTTCAAATGCTTGTTGAGGAACGTTGCTTTTAAACTATAGATTTTTTGGCATAGTGGCAAGACTTGACCCATCCTTGCTCATAAAGGACTAGCTATTTCCTGAATGCTCCTTTTATACAAAGGCATGTTTTCATGTATTGATTTTATGATTGCATGATTTCATTTCTTGCATAGGAGGTTTTTTTGAATATTCACAATGTTTCTAGTCTTAAATGGTCCCTGTGCCAATTTTATTGAAACATTTTGCAGACATCAGCTTCAAAATGAACATACATTTACTAAAAATTATTGTTCAAAAGATAAAACTACATATTTTGTCTTTATAGTGTTTTCATTTAAATGCAGCTCAAAGTGGATTTACAAATCACTGCTTTCTGTTTTTATTTATTTGTACTTAATGGCTGTTTTGACTAAAAAGATCTCACACAACAACCAAAGCTTTTTTGTCAAATTGAAATCATAATAAAATATCTCCTCTTCTACTCAGGTTTTTTGCCTCTTTCAGTGAGAAATAATAAAAAATACACACATGCTTTTCTTATTGGCAGCAAAAACTGCAACTTCTGTCGTCAGAAAATTGAGAACACAGTATTTACCACCCACTAAAAATGTCAGTGCTAATAATGTGTCATGTTCACAGCTCCATAGACAGCTAAGAGCTGGAGTGTCAGTATACTTTAAATTAGTATTTAATTTCATTGTGTTCGTTTGAGTTTCAGTGCAGCTAAATATCACTAGCTCATTTTAGTGAAGCCACAGTGCAGTGTGATTTCTTATATAATCATATACACGCTGATGACGCAAGAAGTGATGGCATTTTGCATCTTCCCTTAGGAAAGTGAGGTGGACAAGAATGAGGACAGTCTGAGGCAGGACAGCTCTAAAGAGGTATGGCCTGAATGTTTCTGCCTCTTTCTCTATGGCCTTGGCCTAGCATCAGCATTGTGTCTGTATTTAATGCCCCAGTCAGGAATTGCTGCACTTGGATAGTTTCAGTGCTTACAGTTTCTTTTCTAAAATGTCAGGTCGGGTTCGAAATTCACATTTGGGTTCACAGCTCACCTCCCGCTTTTTCCCCCTTACTGTAGTTTTTCTCCTTACTTTATCCTTCACTACTTTCTGTACCGTAAATCATTTTTTAATCTGGCATGCTGGAGTCACCCACTCAGCACCGAGGTCTGCAAGGCCCACGCTCATGAGAAAACCAGACATAAGCAGTGGATTGATTCAGGAAAGTAGAGTTTAGTGCAGCCAGAATGGTTGATTTCTTTGACCATAATGTCTGTCATGTTCTACGTAACATGTTCCAGTTTTAGTATTAAAGAACTGAAAACTAACATCTCACTATATCAGCACCACGCAGAGAACAGCACAATATGAAGAGTTTATTCAGACTAAAAATGTTTTTCAAAAGCGTTATTTGATTAATTAATTTGTTGGAGTGGAATTTAAGCTATATATATATATATATATCATCATCATCATCGTCGTTAACCACTTAGTCCAGCTAGGGTCACGGTTATATATATATATATATATATATTTAGTTAGTAGTTAGTTAGTTGTACAACTTTTGTCAGTTACTTATTTTGTCAATTTCAGACCATGATAATATGAGTCAAGTTTGGTTCAGACTGAAATTTGTCAAGCACAGTTCAGATTCAGACTCAAAATATAGTTCTGCATGTCAGTTTGGGTCGGGCTTGGTTTAAAGCACTAACAGTCTGTCTCTGAAAGATGTTTGTAACGTGTGTAGATTTAAGGCAGTATTTATCTAATGTTTAAATTTTCCCTCTATTAAAAATGTGAAGAGGAGTTTCAGCTGTATTGTAATGACAGTAGTGACTGTGATTGTTGGCTGGTTTATGGTTAATATCTCTCCTCTCCTGTTTATTGGCCTGGAAGAAGAGCGTATCTCCAGCTGGAGCATCTCCTAGGTCAGCTGATGGAAATGGCCTGGACGGCTCTCCGATCCAGCGCAGGAATGTTTCCAGAGAAGCCCACTCACCCTCCTCCCCCTTCCCCCACCCACACACACCTGCCCACCGCAAGAGCCCCAGCCAGGTACACACTGCAGGCTACATAAGAAATACAATGTACAAGGCAAAAAATAGCACAACTAGTTAAAGAGGAATTCCACCCGTTTTTCCAAATTAAGCATAAGATGTTGAGATGTAAACAAAGTCGTTCAGAGTGGTTTGACATTTTCTTTATGATGATAGAAATAGGAACTTGGGATTGCGATATATAAAAAGCGCAGAATATATAGATATTATAGGTACTATACGACGCTGTGTGAGCAACTCAAAAGCATGCACTGACTGGCTACATGTCTCAGGAAGAAAACATGTTTTAGCCTTTACCCCAACCCTCAGGTGGGAATTAAAGGTCGAAGACTTTAATACAGTAAATAAGATTCAAAATGTGTTGTCCACTCCACAGCACACACAACACCTATATGGAAACTATGCTACAAATACAGCCTGTTTTGAATTAATTGTTTTTGTGATGTCACAAAAGCCAGTGCAATTTCATATATACACCTATTCAGCCGATAGCAGTTGAGCTTTGCCCCTTCATGCTAAAGTGATCAGGAGTGTTTTTTTGACTGAGGCAGTATACAGGGCAGCCAATCAGAACTGATCTGAAAACTCATTTGCATCAGTCTTAAAGGCACAGTAACAAAATGTAGCCTGTTTAATTTTGAAGGATAAACAGAGGTTGGGGAATGGTCATGTAAAATCTGTTGTGACAGCTTTTGGTATGTACACCTTATGGTAAAAAATTAATAAAATATTAAATGTGCCATAACTTTTGCACCAGCCACATTTCATGTTGTACATATTTTTCAATATGTTAAATTCAGCAAATAAACAGTAATCAAGCATTAAAATGGTCAGAAGTGTGTTCTCTGTAGAGAGTGTGTTAAGTGTTAACTTACTTTCACTTAGAAAATCAACAATACTTTTGCATGTGGCTTTTTAATCAGAAATGTTATAAGTGAGGGTACAAGAAAAATGTAGGCTATGGGCTCTTTAAGACTCTTCTCTTTTAATATTAGAGAGAAAACTGGGGGAAAAAAAAGCCAGAAACAGCATCAAATCTGAATCTGACACATAAGACTAGTGGTACACTAACATATATAAAAGGTCTTGGAGGATTACAGCACAGCTTGGTGATTTGCCTGCTTGTACACATCTATTAAACCTGCAGACTAAGTTGACTCAGGTGTGTTTAAGCAGGAAAATCACCAGACCGTGCCTGACACTTATCCTCCGAGGCCCCAGCTCATGACTTCTTGTGTAAGCTGTTAAAATTCTGGAATATTACCACTGCAAGCGTTACAGATTTAATTAGGTTGTTTTCTAGATTGCAAACTATTTCCTCTCTCTGCTTCTTTTAGGAGGAGAAGGCTCGCTCTCCCCCTCAGTCTCCGTCCCGGGACACTGTGTCTCCAGGCTCTGCTCCTGCCCCTCCTCCTCCACCTCCTCCTGCTGCCCGGCCTCTCTCTTCCCCAGCACGCGCTCCCTCTCCTCCTGTTCAGCACTAGGTGAGACTCCACATGCCCTCATTTCTTTGTTGGTAAAGTAAATATTACCAGAATCTATCATAGATCAGCATCTCACTATTCAGACGTTTAGGAGTTTTTAATAATATAAAATCAGTTTGGATGCAGACCAGAGTGATTCTAATATGCTCATCCTGTGCAGCTTCACAGGATTTGTGTCCAGAATGGTGAGTCGTATAGGACTGTGAAATGATTGAAAGCTGTATAGCATTGATAATAAAATTAATACATCCAGAATTCATCACATTTTAAAAGTGGAGATCAAATTTCAAGACAGATATAATATGAATGTAAGCAAATAATTACAGTGTATTATCATTGCATTCAGTTCTGGTTCACAGAATACTTGAAATATTGAATAAAATATCTAAAATATCTTTTTGTGTATAGTTTGATATTTAAATCCACTCTGTATGAGTTATTATTGTGTATAAAATAGACATTGTTAATATGACAAGTGATTCCAGACTTTGCACACTACTGTATATTTGCTAATATTTGCTATATTGACTAAAACACAATAGCTTTAACTTCTGGACACTTTTTTTCATACATCTAGTCAGGAATGCCTGGGAAAACTTGCTGTTCGTATGAAGAAAGTGTGCAAAGTTTTTCTTTTTTTCTCTTTATAAATGTACGGAGGCCGAGAGAGGACGGAGGTAAAAGTGAAAATGAATTAGAGTGAACATTTTGCAGTTTGTACGCATGTTTCTTTTATTTGTGGTCACGATTTATTAACTTGTTCACATGATTAACAGTTCGTTCTCTTGTTTATTTTTAATCTTGCATACGTTTTCTTTACTTCGTGGGTACGTTTTTTTTTATTTGTGATCTCGATTTTCTAATTCGTTCTCTCGATTTTTTCTTTTAATCGTGCTCATGTTTTCTTTTTAATTGAATGCACGTTGTTCGTTTTTTTTGATTCGTGCACAAAGCAAAATAAATGTAGTAAATACAGCCTGTGTTATTTGTCCTGCGCAGAAGTAACTATCAACTCCCTGAGACTGTCTGATGGGTTTTGATGTGTTAGATCGATGAGGTAATGGACAGAGATGCTCATGAGGTTTAATTTTGATTTGGGGGGTCATGAAGACTCCTCTTCACAGCAAACGGCCCACAGATTCATCAGTGCAGCTGCAGTTTGGTGGAGAAATGAAGGAAAGCAATAAACTACAATCACAATATTCTCTAAACTGCACTTTCTAATCATTATATTTAACAGAGATATAGACGCAGTGCGGCCGCACAGCCCTGTTTCTGCTCTGTGTCGAGCTGCGGTGTTAGAGATCATCACACAATTACAGGAAGAACGATCAGCGTCAACGTTTCAACAAACTCAAATTAAACACACAGAAACATTCATGTGGGATGAGGTCATTATCTCATCAGTCTGACACTTTAAAACCTGTCAGTCTCAGGGAACTATTAGCTTCTGCACAGGACAAATAACACTGGCTGTATTTACTACATTTATTTTGTTTGTGCACAAATCGCACAAATGTGCACAGAAAAAACAAACAACGTGCATTCAATTAATAAGAAAACGAGCACAATTGAAAGAAAACAAGAGAACGAATTGTTAATCGTGACCATGAATAAAAGAAAATGTGCGTACGAACTGCAGAACGTTCACTCGAATTATTCATTTTTTTTACCTCCGTCTCCTCTGGGGCTCCGTATGAATGTGCTGTTGTTTGTGCTTTTTTTTAATAGTCAGGAAAAGCCTTGAATAGATTTCTTTTCCAAACACCAATCAAAAATGAACAATGGAACAGGAAGGAAAAAATAGCATGATGGGCTTTTTTTAGTTTTTAATCACTTTTGATGATTTTTTCTTCAAAATATACTTTTTTGTTTAATATGTGAAGTTTTTGCAAACTTGCTCAACAATTTATTTCCTTATTTATTCTCATGACATTAATTGCAGCACACGTGCAGTTTGGATTGTTGTAGAAGAGAATAACTCCTTGCTGCAGTGATTTTCAGTTCTTGTTTCCTCAGCAGTTTCAGACTCCAGCCTCTTTCTCACGAAGTGTAATTCATGCTTCACCGGACTGAAATGGAAAAATTCACTTGCCGCTGCACAGCTCAATTTTGGCCTGTGTGAAATATGCTGTTGCCATATTTGTCCTGTTTGTTCTCAGGACCCACTCCGCTCCGTGGAGTGAGACGGGTGGGAGACGACGTGCCCCCTCCCCCACCCACCCTACCCAGCACACAAAGGCTCCGTCCCAGAATGCAGTGGGCTCAGGCACCAGGTGCCTGGTCAGGAACTCCGCATCTGCCCACTGACTCTCTGAGCCGCACCGTGAGCTTTACGACATCTGCGTCCAACACACTGCAGCGCCGCCTCTGAGGCACAGCTCAACAAGCCAATCAATCAGCTGTTACAGTGACTGACAGGTTTCTCAGCCAATCAGGCAGCTGGAGTGCTGTGGCCAAGCTGAGCGTTTTGGTGAGTTGATGGGTTCGCCTTTGTTTAATGTGTCAGCGCTGGGGCGATAGATCTCACAATTAAATGTAGTTTTTGTAGAGGTCTCTCTGACGTAAGGGTGGGCAATATGACAATATGTTACATTGTTATGCACTTTTCTGAGTGTATTATGGGTATCGTTAATACTTCTAGAGCACTGAACAACTGCATGCATCATAAAAAATTAGGAACGGGACCACATATTCATTTATTGATAATTAATTGATAGGTAGAATTGATCCTGTGAGTGGTTGTCACACCATCAGAAACACGATTTTTCATTCTTAAAGGGGAATTCCACCCGTTCCAATTCCAGTTCTGTTCTTCTAAATATCTGCAGAATTAACTGGTTAAACTATAGAAAACAGATTCAGAGTGGTTTGTTGTGAAATGCGCCGTTCTAGAGAAACAGAGTCAAAGTGGTGGTGATAGGAACCAGACGTCAGCCTCCAAAAGCTTATACATGAAATGCTTATATATACACTGCAACATGCAGAGCATTCTAAGGCAAAATAGTCACCAAAGAAAACGTATTTTTTCAGATTTACCTCTATTTCACTGTTATCAACATTACATGTAAGAACTCAGAAGAACTGCAGATTTGCTGGTAGCTTTGGATAATAAATAAAATGGCTATATTCCTGTTGTAGACAGAGTCAGTAAGTTTCTCTACAGTGAATCATTTCACACCAAACCACCCTGAACGACTTTCTTTACATCTCAGCGACTGAAATGCAAAAATGTTGAAAAATTGATGCCATTTCTGTTTATTTTTAGTCTAATGTTTAGACGTCTCTAGTTTTAGGGATGAAATAAGTGGATACGCTGTCACTACTCTTTTACACTTTTTATTAAACCATCATGGGACGAATACTAAAAGAAGAAAGGGATCCTTTGAACAGTAACAGCCATAAAAGTATCATTTTGGTTTGGCTGGTGTGAACCAAAGACACAGAGACACAGGAGCTGTGTGTGACAGACCTTGAAGTACTGCTTTAACTGGTACCATTAAAATGAGCAGTAATTATAGACTAATGTAAAAGACAGCAGTACTGTTAACACATGCGTTTACTAAACTTGTTCTGACTTGTTTTTTGCCTGTAAAACTGTGAAAAGGATTTATCACCCCCTCTGACACAAATAGAAACTGTGCACAGTATTGTTACTGTAAAATACCCATAAAATACCCAGTTTTAAATTAGGGCTGGGCAACATGAAAGTGTTTTATTCTGTTGTGGTAAAATTAAATTACAGTGTGCTTTCCTGAGCATTTCATGAATATTGTCTGTACTGAAAGAACACTGACCAACTGCGTGTTTCATTACAAAGCGAGTTAAAGACAGGCCTGGATATTTGCATTTAGTGCTGTGCAGTATGTTAAATGTTGAAGAAAAATCATCGAATTCATAGTTTTTAATAGTATTAAGTGTGGCACTACCGGTGCGTTCTGTCTGTGCCAACTTATCACTATTTTTTTGAGGTTTGATACTGTCATGTATCGTCAATGTCTTCAAGTATTATGATGATATATTTTTGCTATATATTATTATATCACCCAAAATTGAAATAATAAAAATATTAATATTTATCAATGATTTTCTAATGTAAAATTGCTTATCATTCTAGCCCTATAAAAAGACAGATTTGGACCAATCATAGAAAGGAAACAGCAACCATTGTACAGTAGCTGCATACACTTCATAGCAATAAGCAGCTGATTAGGCAGCCCTTCATTATCTAAAGAATTGATTTACATCCATTGTTTGATTTTTCATCCTGTTCCTTCTTAGTTTATTTTTTGTTGAATAAAAAATAAAATAAAAATTGTAAAAAACTCATTTTTTGTGTTTATATGGACCTGCTGAACTCCAAAAGTCCAAAACTAATGTTTTATATATATTACATATCATCCACCTTAACTCTTATGGATGCTTTATAGTTTTTTTTTCCCCCCAAATGATTTATAATATGTGCCTAATGTTTTTCTTCTTTCTTTCTGTGCTTCAGAGCAATTGGAAAAAAATCCTGTTGATCCTCCGCAAACATGGAATGCAATGAAATGAACATGGACTGGGACCCTTAAAAGATTTCAGAGGCTGGACTTATGTGAACAGATTCTAAAGACTGCTGGTGAGCTGGACTGGACTGTCCTTGCTGAAGAAGAAATGGACCTTTATATACTCACTTGGAGTACCAGCACCCTAAACAGACAAACTTCAATGGGCAGTTCAACAGTAACAACTCCGTGCGACTTTGCTATTATTTTGTAATTGCATCATTTTTGCTAGGATTCATATACACCTTACTCTTTCACATTGTTTTTACCTTTGATAACACTTAATGCCATTGCTGACACTGTTCTGTAACAAGAGATGTACGTACACTCTGTATTTTACCTCCTTAAGTTAGTAAACGAGCATAAACCAACTGAGGACTGTTACAGCAGATTGTAGAACCTGGGGAGAATGAGATCACTGTCATACCAAAATAGCAACTTTAACATAATGTGCTTTTATTCCAGGTCATTTTGGACCATTTATAGTAGTCCATTCTTCATTAAATATGTACACAATGCAAAAGGCAGCTAGCATTTTCAGAAGGTGTAAAAAAAAAAATAAACCAAAAAGTCTGGTACAAGGTTTTGATACAGTACACAACTGTAACTCACTTTACTCTTACATACTGGTTTGGTTGACAGTTGCCATTCACTTACTGCGATCAATACGGTGAATTACAGAAGCAATATGTAATTATAACGTCTCGCAGCCTGGAAAAAAATGAGCATCATGCTGCATCCTAACAGCAGTTGCCACAAGGGGGCAGCACTGTCAAATCCATCCAGCACATTGTTTTCTTACAGATGCTGGTGGTCATAAGCATTTGGTCTTTTTTTTCCTGCTGAATAGAATAAACAATAACAGTTACAACAATTCTAGAGAGAATACACCTTATTTATTATTATCAGTTATTAGACCCGTCATTCTGCTGCATCGCTTGCAGGGAATATGCTGTGCTGTGGTTTTCCAGAGCATGAGTCACAGGGGCCTACGTCATAAGGCAAGAGAACCAGTATTACAACTACCCAGAGAAACAGCATGAGCCCACCGTAAATCAATAAAAACACCTCTGGGATACATGACTAAACTACTGACGTCTTTTTTATATGGGAACAGAACCCCTGTGGACGCTCTGTATTAAAGGCTCTAAAGTTTGGTTTGGACAGGATGTCATATGTCCATCACACAAGGGAGGAACCACACAATGCAGTCAGCCATAAACACATCTGGGAATCTGATAACAGGAACAGAGCACATTCTAGGGGTCAAAAACGTCCACACCCACCCAACTGGAAGGGCAAAAACGGATAAAAGCAGATTAGGTAGCGTCTCTATTCTTACATTTGATATCTAGTCTACCCCTAACAGTAGTACTGCACAGCCCATTAATGTCCATATTGTGGGAAAGTTTAATGATGAATGGTCCAATAGAAATGCTTCAAAATTGTTTGGAATGAAATCCCCTTACATTAAAAGTAAAGAATGTTTTTGCCCTTGTCTGTAAGGTTGCCATTTGACGATGCTGCAGATGTTCTCAGAGCTTGTCTGAGCCCACATCTGACAAACGTTTTCTAAAATGATCAACCCCTATGACTAAAAAGAGTTTTTATTCACTAAATGTTACATTTTGGTTACATGAAATGCTGATTTTTAACAAAACAATAGAAAATCCAAATTACACCGTCATATGACAGCGGTGTAAACAAAGCAAATCAAAGCAGCAACTCCAGCAGGTGTAACTATACAAAAGTTCATCAGTAAAGCAAGAACAAGTCTCGTAGCATTTTTTCCTTATCATATGAAGTTTGGTTGCTGGACATGAATGGGTTAATATGAAGTCAGTGTGTTAAAGGAATACGCCAATGTTTTGTAACCAAAATCTTCATCTGCCAGTAGCAGCAGCAGCAGCAGCAGACTGTCGACTACCATGGACAAAAAAGTTATTAGCTCAGAACATACAATAGACGGCAATGGGCGGATGCTTTGAATCTCGTCAAATTGATTGACCATGGGAGTCGACCTTAGGCTACAAATGTAGCACAGTTTAAAAATTGCCTTTAAAAGGTCACGTCCACAGGTCAGGTCTCCTTTTGCTTTTGCCTCCACACATTCACTGTCTGTTCTGTACCAGCAATAAAATGTAACTAATACAAGCTGCAGTCCTTGACTGAGAGAACATCCACATAGTTGAACACTATTTTATGAAACAGTGTCAATTTTGTTCTATTCAGCCTCTTTATTTCTTGAGATGCATCCTAGCCTGGTTTCCTCACTGCACGTTCCTGCTACATTGACAAACTGTGTAGTGCACAATGAACTGTGTCTCTGCAGTTCTCACGAACACAAAAGTTCTGGGAAAATAAAGCACCAAGACAGTACAATGAGTAATTGCTTTTATTCATCATACAGTAGTTATAGACAAAACATACATAAAAATACATGTAGAAAAAATATTGTGTGCAATATGCATAAGCTGTACAATCAGAAGCTCTGAGAAGGTCACAGTGAAGGCCAGTGATGGCAACAGCAACATTACAGATCACCTGCTGCAATGAGAGAAGTCGTCTGTAGGTCTGTAGGCACTTGGGCTCAAGCATACGACTTTGGAGGCCTAGCTTTAAAATCAGTGGCATGGAATGACAGATAAACCCTTCCAAAAAAAAAACAAACACTTGTTCAGTGGACTCGCTCACATTTTTCAAAAACACAAAAGAAAATAAACTGCATAAAGATTTTGTAGTTCTGAAGGAAGATGGCGTTCCTGACTGATGTGTCCGCAAATTGGTCAGCTATGGTCAGCATTTTGACAAAATGATAAAAAAACTATAAAATTTTTTATCGTGTTTGTGAAGAAAGATCGCTCTGTAGTCAAAGCTGTTACACTGGAGTGTTATAGGCTTTGTTTCTTTGTATGATTTCAACATTTTTTAAACTAAAACCTTTGTTTTGTCATTATGTATTCCTGCTATTTCCACAAACTGTATAGCACAGAACAAAAAACATCTGATTCAAACTACTCAGCCTTAGGATACATCATGAAACTGTCAGGAATTCTGAATGATTTAATACATGCAAAAAAAACAAAAAAACAATATGGTCCACAGCAGCAGTAGGTTGGCTTATGGCCTATTACTATAACACTGTAGTAATATTATAATAAGCCATAATAAACCTTACTCTCAGTGGAACTACTACTTGCTGCAATATCAGGGGCTCAGGACAGAATACAAGATAATGCAATAATCTGTGCATTACAGAGCGAACACAGCAAGGTTATTAAGGTTAGCGACAGGCTAATTTGACACACAATGGTGAGCAACAGGGTTATAACATGACATTCAACACGAGCATCAAATAGTATTCAATATAAGTGAACAAGGCAAACTGTAGTAATACATTGCATATTTTTCACATTCAGTTTATACACATAATTAAAAACGCTTTGCAAAAGGTGAGCTACCCTCGCACAACCCACCCCCAGTCGTGCTGGACCCCGCTCTATTTTAAGGCCTTTCGGTTTCAGCAGCTATGCCACAGTAACAGAGTGAGTCTCTGTTCGGTGGAGAAAAAAATGAGAAAAATCACTCACACTGAGTAAATATAGAGTCCTTTAAAAATCTTGCAACTGAAGCAGAATCAGTGAAATGCACGGCTCGTAGTTAGCAAGGTTAATGTGCTTGAATCTGTGAACGTGAACATGCAGTCACGCGTGAATGCAAAACATATTCAGCATATTTCTATATACTGTGGATGGAATGTGGACATGAAGCTTATATATTACATAGTGTTTAATGTGAATATTCTATGTGAAAGGAGTTGTATGTCTATACACAACAATCTGATATGCAGTGGATTTTGTGATGCACCAATTTCTACACTAATTTTACATTTCTTTGCATTTTTTGATACATGTTATGGCTCTACAAAAGCTAAGGCTTCATTTATACAATACTCAAATAGCCAGATGTAGTGCTCAAAACAGATCAGACTCGGTCTGTTTTGTCTAAAATAACAGATTTTGTGTGTTTGGTTATTTTAGTGAAGCCACCAGGCTGTTATTACGGCCCAAATAGTAATTATAAATATCATATTGGTAAACAGATCAATACACAAGGAGCATGGCAACAAATAAAATACCAACACCTTCTGTACTGAAGTCATATATTACTGTATTTATATATATATATTCACTGTGAGCTGCATGGTGAACAAATGAAGTCCCTTCATGCACATCAGGCAGTGTTTCGCCAAGAGCTACATTTTGTTCTGCAGTTTTAAAAGGACCTCTGCAGATTTTTCTAAATTCCTGCATATATAAATGGTAAACAAAGTCATTCAGAGTGCTTTGGCGTGAAATGCTCTGTTCTAGAGTCAGAATTGTTCACAGTGGTGGTGATGGGAACCAGACATCTGAAGAGTTTAATGCCTCTAAAAGCTCCCTCACACAAAGTTATTACATGAAATGGTTAAAAATACACTGCCTGATGCATCTGAAGTTGTTTTACGATAGTTCTGAGATTAAATCTCCAAAACAGGAACTTTACAAGAGAAGGCAACAATGTTCTTAACTTTCAATGCTAGTTAATGTAAACAGATTTTATTCCAATTCATTTTGGATCATTTCAGTAGTGTACTGGTAGGGTATAAAACAGTCCCCAAAGAAAACATTCAGATTACCACTATTTTACCTCTTAAAACTCAGAAGATGTGTAGGTTCACTGGTGGTTTTGGATAATAAATAAAATTACTATATTTGTGTTGTAGACATTGTGACACCTGGTTCCTATCAGCACCACTGTAAAGAAAAGAGTCTGCAAGCTTCTCTACAATGAACCACTTCACACCAAACCACTCTGAATTAATCTGCTTACATCTCAAAGACTGAATTATGCAGATTTTTTTGAAAAATGGGTGGAATTCTCTCTTAACTTTGAAAATCTGAACCAGGCACACACAGGTCCCCGTGATATTGTTCACCTACTGCTACTTCCAAAACATACTCATGCTACAGATGATCTTCCAGGAACACAGAACCCTGCCAATCCAGGCCAACATGATGACTGTCTTCCTTAGCATCATTCTAACGCAGGCTTGCATAATGCTAACAGTCCTTTAAGGAAGGCAGATTCCATTCCTCCTCATTGGGGAACGGAGCCATAATTAGTATGGGTAATTATGGGTAATTATGTCTTAGTCTTCTAGCTCTGACTGCCCCCTAAATTCACATTTTAAAATATTAAAACAGAAGAAAAACTGTAATAGGCCTGCACATACGCAGTAGTTAGCTAGTGGTATTTATTCAGGAAAAAAAACATTAACATAAAATTAACATATAAAATTTGTTATGCGATGCAGTCCACCTTTGAAGCCCTTCAAAGGATGAGTTAGGGAGGAATATAAACTAAGGCATAACATTTCACTAAGATTACTGCCAAATGGTGGGTCATAAAAGTGATTAAGCCATCACTACAGGGTATGATATTAAATGTCTTTTAAAAGGTCTTAAAAACCTACAGAGAACTGTCAAACAACAAAGAAAACTGATTGCACAATTTCCACTGTGTAGTGGATGTGGGACAGACTTTTCAACACTACCTTTCAGTTTCACTCGTTTTCAGTGTTTTCTTTATGACTTTCATTTTCTATCTGCTCTTGGCTTCATAACTGTATTTTACAGCTCTTTCACTCCTTCATCCAAAAAGCTGGTGCTCAAGGCACATAACTGACCTGTCCATGCTCCGCCCACAAATACATTCTTTGCCAGGTTGGACAAGCTTTACAGAACATTGTCATTCATCCTACAATAATCACGTTCAATATCCTGAAATCATAACAGAATGTTTGTTTTTTTGCCAAAATACATAATCGCACACCAACACATCGGCCCCCGTTCAAATGACATGTTCTGTTTGTTTTCTAAGTGAAAATAAGTTAAAACATCCTCTACAGAGAAAACTCTTAAATATGGCATTTTTCTGAGTTTGACATATCGGAAAAAATAAAACATTAAATCTAAAATAAGTCATAACTTTTCCACTGGCCACATTTTAATTGAACTATGCTTTAGTTTTTCCCAATATGTTAAATTCAGCAAATAAACATTAACTATGCAGAAGTGTATAGTTCTGTAGTTCCTCTCTGTAGAGGAACTTACTTTCAGAAAAATCAACAAAACATTTGTAGCAGTAACTTGAGCAGAAGTGACCAAACCTTTACATACGACTGTGTATTCAGTATATTATTCATTTCAAATGCTATTTGTGTTGTATGTGCTGGACAGATTAGATGTAATTGTTTTAGTCGTGTAATCAACCTAATGTTAGCAAAGCAATAAATTCTGTTGTTGCCCATAAAATTTGATTAATAGCAGCAACGCAGTCCAGCTCAGGAGTACATGTTAAACTGGAAACTGATGTTATGTGACTAATGAAACAGTAGTGATCTGACACGGATTATTTTGGTATTTTAACATAAGTTGAGTTGTGAACTCCAATTTCTCATTAGACTGAACTGAATTTTGCCAGCGTTCTACAAAGCTTGTCCGACCGAGCAACAGCTGCACCAAAAGACTGCATTTGTGGGTGGAGCCCGGATAAGCTAATTATATATAAAGTGAAAAACATCCCACCCAGTTATAGTTGTCATTGGAGCCCATTATCAGTTGTTGCTTTAAAGGTTCAATGGTCAGTTTTCTTTACCAAAGGTGACGTGTGGCTTTTTGAGCAGTTGTACTATTAATACGATATAAAATAATCCGAGTATAAATATGTCAGACCCTCTAAAGCAAAGAACATAGAAATACTGCATGTGATTCCACACACACACACATCAACACTCGCGCACACACACATACACACACACACTCACAGGAATATAAAGAGGAGTTTTAGTCCTCATACGGAGGAGAGTCTGTAGTCAGTGCCACTCAGTTTGGGGGCTACAGAAGCTGCGCTGATGCCTCTGGTACGAGTATGTGGGGGGGTCATCATATAGAGCAGCACTGCAGCCTGTCCAGTGGTTACGTTTTCAGGGATTTGGTGCAATCAGTGGAAATGTCGGCCTGAAGCTCACATGTTAATGGTCACTCATACGTTCCCTGCGAAGTTGTAATGGTTATTTCTCTCCGGCTCCGCTATCTGCAGGCTGGGCTTGTTCTCCATCTCCTCGTTCTCAGCCGCCTTGGTGTGTTCGCAGAGGGGAGGCCGCTCCTTGAAGAAATCGGAGACGTATCGCACCTGCAGAGCAGTGCAGAACCATGTTAAACTCAACTTCATCCATAAAACATGAACATAGTGCTTTGCAGTGTTTTCCTGTCAGATCACCACCACAATGAGATGCTCATTTCCTCTGGCCTTTTTTGTCAATTCTCTGTTAGCATCAAGCTAACAGTGTCGTTTTCCCACACTGCGCTTAATACTACTTAAAGCAGATCAACTAAACATGGACACTGGAAGCTTATACAGTCGTATGCAGAAGTTTGTGCGCCCCTGGGCAAATTGTTTTGTTGGTTTCCTAAGCTAAAAAAAAGTTACACATCCTCAACAGAGGAAGCACATTTTAATGCATAATTATTGTTTATTTATTGAATTTTAACATATTGGGGGAAAACAAGAAAAGAAGAAGCAGCCTGTACAGAAGTTCCGACTTTATTTTATTTTTTATAGGTTAAACTGCAAATAAATAGAAATTGTGCACTAAAACACAGAAACACAGAAAGAAATGTCTTATTTAAGTTTGTCCCTTGAGAGAATGTTTTAACCTATTTACACTTATAAAGTTAACAAAACCTAATTTTACCAGGGGTGTTCAAACTTTTATATACAACAAGTAACATATAGTTACCTACAGACAGTATACAGAGAACAAATTTAAGTATGGCATTTTTCTGCTAATTTTAGGGCACAACCAGCTAACAAAACGTCATTTGACCAGGGCACCCAAACTTTTGCATAAGACTGTAATCTTTACTTTATGTTGCAGTTTTACAGTAAATCATCCAGTAAATATTTCTTTTCAAAGTGAAACACTGAATATTAATAGAGGATCCTCCTAGCCTGTTAGCTATCTGCAGAGTTAATCTGCCTAGTTCTAGTTGAGTCATTCTACCATTATGGTGGCAAATGGTATCCCACACATTCGAAGCCAAGAGAATGAGGTCAAAATAAAATAAACCACAGAACGTTAAAGTCTGTGTAAAGTATTTGTTCTATTTCTAAATTAACCAACAAAAACTAATTCTTATTTCTTAATTATTTTAGTGATTGAGATGTGCATGAAAAAAGTCCTCACAGTAGTCACATCACAAATGCTGAAGCATTTTAATTCTAAATAACAGATTTAATGCCCGTTTTTCCTGTTTTTCTGTAAAAATATGTTTTAAAATTACTTAATCTGTCCCAAGATTATTTTTATCAGAAATCTCTTTCTAAATTTCTGATGAATTTGATTAAGTACTGACAGCACCATGTCTCACATTAAACAATGGTGTTACTCATTAAACATACACTGATTTTAAATTTAAAAATCAATTTTAAAATTGAAATAAAATAACAACAGGAAGGCAATATTTGTGATTTTCTACACACAATGTGACTGTAAATCTGAAATGGCAGTAGACCAGACTTTAGAAAACTCAGATTTTAGCAATTTTGTCAGTCACTGACGAAACTACTGATGTTGTTCAGTGTAAACAGAGGACGTTTTACATTTGAGTACCATCTCAACATCTGTACCCTGTTTACCACCACAATGGTAAAATGACCCAAATATAGATATTTTAAAGACGAAGTTAAGATAAAATACACATCTCAAACCCAAGTTCTTCAATAGGTTGCTTTTACAATTTTTTTTAGGTTATTTACACGGCTATCAGGTCTCATCTAGACTAGTCATAGTCTCACACAACAAAAGTGGTCTTCACTACGGCCCTCCGTAAACAGCTTTGGATCCTGACATAAGATTTTAGGACCGAGACTATTCGTTTTCTAAAAGCACATTTGTGTATTCATACTGTGAGCTAAATCACCACTGACTTAGCTAAATGTAACATCCTCAGGAGGCTTGTTTCATGTGAATTGATGTCAATTTGAAACTTTGTAATTTTGCCAACTGGCTATTGCTAGATGCACTCAACTGGTACATTTGCAACTATCTGCATTCTGTAATAGCTAAACATACCAAGTTTAGTTTAATTTCTATGCCATCAGCTCTGACAGAACACATAATTTAACATTGTTCTCAAGTGTTCACTTACAGCTAAGCTGGTGGAAGATCATATTTATATATAGCTTCTAAACTTATATATGAATATTAGGAATTTAACCTCAAACGTAAGTTTTAAAATCTAGACTAAAAACTTTAGGCATATGCTAGTCTGAACAAAAGCATTGTGGCTAATTTTTGCCTGTGGTCTGTTAATATGCTATTATTTTCATTAAGACTGTAGTGTTTTTCTTTTTCCGATGTTTCACTGATTTTACTGTGTGAAGCACAGTAACTAAATTAAAACTTACATTATGAACAATAACTTGTTCATAACTTATTATTATTATTATTATTATTTAACCCCTACCTATAACTAAATCAACCACTGTGAGAGAACAAAGCACTTACATTAAGGATTGCAATGAGTGCCCCCTGCAGGAGACCCACAAGCACATCACTCCAGTGGTGTTTGTAGTCCGACACTCGCGTGTATCCCACATAAATAGCAAACGCGACCAGGAAGAACTGGATTGTGGGTCGAAGGAGGCGTGCCCATTTGAAAGCCATGCGTGCCTGCACATATAACTACAGAGAGAGAGAGAGTAGATAAGGTATTGTGTAACATACAGAGAGATATCCTCTAACCTTTAAACTCAAACTATGCAGTTGTGTCAGCAGTTAGACCAAGGCTTAGTTATCAGGGAAAATCACTGCAAATCCAATAAATTCTTCCAAGAAATTCATCTCAACTGGAGCAGTTCTATAGGGCAGTCTTAAATAACAGTCACTCAAAGCCATTTTTCCAATGAAATTAACAGGGAAAACACCCCGGGATGATTTTGCATAAAAATTTTTTCACTTCCTTTGGAAAAAAGAGCCACACCTAAAAACCTCTTTCAACTCAAACGCATTACTTCCTGCTTTTTCAAAGTACTGTATTTCAGCAAGTCACCAGAATCCACTGACTGCTATGGGTGTGAAAAAGATTACAGTGTTAACTGTTAGCATGTCCGGGCTTGACAGACAAAGATACAAGAAGCAGCCTGAATAGCTTATCAAGCTTAAATCATTAACAGTTCGGCCCAGCACTATTCGTGGGTCACTTTCTCCAATCGACATGGGGGGGGGCATCTATTTTTCAGTCAAAAGGGCCATTAAGTACTAGGCAATCACTTTTCAGGAGACATTTCTGAGGAAATTAAATATAAGATAACCCAGTCAGGGAAACAGGTGGGAAAACAAAGTTTCCAAAAATGAGTAAAGGATACAGAGAAAATGGGACTCCTAACAACCGTGAAAGAGCTGGTAGACCACCAAAACTGCGCCCATCAGATAAACAGTACTTAAAACTTTCATCCTTGAGAGAGAGCAGAAAATCAAGCTCCAGCCTTACTTCAGATCTGAAAAAAATGTAATAAAGAAGCTGCTGGTGTTCTCAGAACAACTGGTCTGGTCAAAAATAGAAGAGAAAAGAATAAATAACTTGCACTTACTTTTAACTGGAAATGAAATAAATGAACCTTTTACATAAACCTTCACCCAGTACTATAAACAAACAGTAGAATTCCTTTCTAGAAATGTTTTTTTTGTTTAATGTCATTCCGTGTTGAAGTAAATAAAAAAAAGGAACCAAAATAGAACTGTCCAAAGCAAGGTTTCTAAAACGTTCCTTTAACAGAGAGATCAGCCCTCTGAGGTCATTTGCTATTATATATACATACTTAAATATCATGTGACACCAAGATACATCAGTGATATTAAATTTAATCAATGCCATCCAACACAATCAGTGCAAGATTCTTTCAACAACTCACCGCCAAAAACAGCATGCAGTACATCCCAAAGGAAGAGTGGCCCGAATAGAAGGACAACCTGAAGCAGAGACATGAAGAATAAACTGTAAACGTCACATCTTCACCTAGTGTGCTTTTAAAAGTTTAACATTACCACACAACTTTAACTGCTTGGTATTTAAAGGGGAATTCCACTGATATTTTTTTTATTTCTGTATAATTCAGTCATTGATATGTAAAAGTCATCCAGAGTGGTCTGATGTGAAATGGTTCAATGCAGAGAAACACTGACTCAAATTTCTTCACAGAGGTGGTAACAGGAACCAGGGGTCTCAGTGTCTACAACACAAATATAGCGATTTTATTTATTATCCAAAACCACCAGTGAACCAGTGAACACCTACATATCTTCTGAGTTTTCATATGTAATGTTGATCATGGCAAAATAGTGGTAAAACTAAAAAAAAAAAATAAAAATAATGTTCTTTGGGAATTTTTTGTGTTACAATGTCCTGTGTGCATCTCTAAAATATGTTTCAGGCCAAAAGGGTATCTGAAAATTACTATGATATAATATCTAGGGCACCAGGCAGTGTATCCATAACCAGGCCTTAAACTCCTCAGACGTCTGGCTCTTATCACCACCGTGAACAATTCTGAGTAGAGTTTCTGGCAATAAACCACTTTGACTGACTTTGCTAACATCTTAACCACTTTATTATGCAAAAAATTTTGAAACACTGGTGGAATTCCCCTTTAAATGCCCACTGAGTGCAATTTGGGTAAATTCATCTGAATAAAGAAGAATGACTCAATGAGGTGTCTGGCTGTGAACATTAATTTACAGAAAGCAGCTTTTAGGTGTGGTCAATGTGACAATATGTTATCATTATCTTGATAAATTAAGCCACAACATACTTCTAGTACTGTGTATATCATCATCACTTCCTCTAATCTACAGCAAAGAACAACTACGTTTATTATAAATATATAGTATAACCAATTACAGAGAACCTGAAAACCACAACCAGTATACACTAACTGCATCAACTGAACAGTAACAAGAAGCTGATTGGATGTCAGTTCACCATGTAACTGTTAATTTTATTTATTTATTTTTACCGATCGAGCAATACTTCCTCCTGCTCTTCTTAAATAGTTTATGCAAATGTTAAATAACTAAAACATAATACTCAGTTCTTCACAGCCTTTTTAAAATACTACTATTTTGCCATTTCATCTTGTTTTGCAAACTGCAAACAGAGGAATCATGAGGCTTATGGTCTTTATGGGAACAGGTTGGGGTCTTTGTTCAGATGTCAGGAGATATTTAGGACTAAAGTACATGCACAAATATAGAAGGCTGTAGAAATGTCACATTTGAGTGTGTATTTATGGCACAAGCAAAAAAAGACTCTTCCTTAGGCTCATGCAGTGTGAACAAAAGAATCCCTTGTGAAAAAGGTCAAATCCTACAACGGCACAAGTGAAAAGAAACAGGAAGTGAAAAGAACAGCTGACACCACCAAGACACAAACACAGGAAGAGAGGTCAGCAATGGCGCGACCTTCGGCCCTGGCCTTCCTGTCTCCTGTCTCAGTACCTTGATTCAGTCACGTTGCGAGGGTTTCCTGTGCAGTTTATCTGTAGCATGTAGCCCTTGCACACGGTCGGAACACAAACTGCCATGAAGTTGGGCCGCGGCCGTCCGATAGTGAATTTGGCCATGTCCGTCAGAGACTGGCTCACGCAGCCGCCAAACAGAAACGTCCCCACCACTTTGTAAAGTGCAGCGGCATACTGATTAAAGCCCGAGTTTGAGTAGATACGCTTGGTGTAGACCAGGTAAGCTTCTCCTAAGGTAATCTGGAGAGGAAAAGTAAAATGAATAGGTTATTTAATATTCTGTAGGGTAGAATCCTCATTGGTTTGTAAGAATGTTCTCTCACTACGACCAGCATGCATTACACAACTACAAACGCTGGGAGTTCCCCATTATGACAAAGAATCCACCGATGTACCACTCACATGGAAGCTAATAAATACAGACAGGACATTTAGGTTCCTGGCAGAAATGTTAGCTGTCTGCCTTCCTACTGCATTAGATAGTGGAGGGCAAAAAAAAATGTTAAAATGCCTACGCTCATGTATTCACCCCAAGCCCTGTTTGGTTTTTCAAAAGTTTCTCCCACCTTCAAGACACATCCTTAGAAGGGGCTTTCCTAGTCTATACACTGGAAAATCTCAATCTCAAGACTATTATGGAACCACTGTTGTGGGCGAGTAGATGTAGCAATGGTTCCATTTTTCATTTTGGCCAGAGGGCCCCTTTAAAAGAACACCTCAAAGAAAAATGCTAACATGGCTAGCAACGATAGAAAAGCTATCCAAGGCTAATCAGCACAACTTCAAAATTGGTAAGATGTTTAAAAGAACACCTCAAAGAAAAATGCTAACATGGCTTGCAAAGAATAAAAGCTAGCCAAGCCTAATCAGCATGATTTCAAAATTGCTTACTGGAACAGAAGAAAAAACACTAACATGGTTAGCAAAGACAGAAAACAAGCCAAAATGAATTAGTATGGTCTCATTTGTTTATTGATTAGTATTTTAATTAATTCTTGTCAAGATATTTCTGTTAATTTACTCCTTCTGTTTTATAAACTAGTATTTCTGAAGCAAATAGGGCCATCCTGCAAACTGACAATCATAAACAACTAGTAACAACTAAAAGCATGTCTATTTTGACATGTCAGTAGCCTGTATGTACGTACGTATGTATGTATGTATGTATGTATGTATGTGCTAGCTTGTGTGGGCCGCGGCTGGAGACTCACAATGATAATGGAGCAGGGGATGGTGACGGCAGCCATCATGCCATGAGAGATGGTGTCTGATTTGTATGGGTATCGGATACTCTCGTCATCACAGTACACACCACGCTGGTAAGGCTTGAACATCAATGTCAGGATCATGCAGGGCATCGCAGCTGAATGACAGAGAATACAAACACACAAACAGCTTCTTTGACAATTCAAACAAAAGAAGTGACTAATGCTGCAATATGGCAAAAAGTGGTTTAATGAAGTTGATCAATGTTGAAAGAACAGCAATGATATCACCAATATTAAGCAGTGACTTTTTTATTATATGACTGACACACAACCATTCAAAAGTTTGGAATCACTGCTCAAAAGTAGGGCACACACACACACACACACACACACACACACACTCAAACTCACACACACACACACATACACATACACACACCTAAATGCCACATATATACTACAAATTATTTCAATCTTTATCACCCAGTGGATAATATAACATGAGTTCCTCCACTGTACATTATTTTTGATGTGAACAACAAAAATCAAATGAGCTGATAGCTTCTTTAACTTGCAAAATGTGATAGTTAACTCATAAGGACAGTGAATGAAGTGTATACTCTTCATACAGTGCACTGAAATGACCAACTACCACAGAGTAAACACTGACTGAGCAAAACAGGTACAAAACTCCATACAGCTGACAAATCCTGTCCTCTGCAAGCCCCCCTTAGTGCTGATAAAGTGACCCTTATCTTCGGGCTCTGTAAACGCACCCAGTGGATACATACAGTAGTCAGTATCTGGTAACCAGGAAACACTCACAGGATCTTGTGCGTGTCTGTAATGTGTGTGGTTATCTTAGGACGTCCCTGTCTACCGACAGAAGTAATCAGCATTACAGCACCCACGAAAGCATCAGTGCTGTGGATGTGAAACAGGGCTGAACGAGACTATAAAGTTCACAATGTAATATGTCATGTTTCTGCAATAACCAAAAATGGAGTAAAAAAAAAAAAAGGTAGCTAGATAAACTAGTGGAGCTAGTCATGTTTGTTGCATCATGCGAATGCCTTGATTCATCCCAACACCTAGATAACATCTGTGATCGGTCAGGATGCTCACATCACATAAAACTTTCAGGCTTATTTGCACACATCTGCGATACTGTACTGCAAAGCCTGATGTTCTGATAACTGATGTTAAGTAACAATGTATTGTGCAGGCCTAATGTGGAATAAATTGCCTATTTCTTCTGTGACAAATCTTTTCCCACAAAAAAATGAGAAGATGCCACTTTGGATGAACACAGCCTGGCAGATAAACAAAGTTGTAGTGAAAGAACATTTGCTTCATCCAGCTGTGTATTCAATATTCCCAAAGCTATGTGCATGTGATTCAGTTCAAGAGCTAAGAGACGTATCACTTTTCTTTACTGATGACCCGCAAAAAATAGCAAAGCTCCCCAGAGCCTGACAGACTTGACTTAGGCCTAGGACTTAGTGAAGGCAGGTCAGAGGCACTGTCCCAAATGATTCAATACTTCTTTAGTGCATATTAGAGTTTCATTATACCAGGACCTTGACTCTGACTCTGACACAAAGCGTGAAATTACAATGCAATAGTGGCTTCATGTTCCTCAGAGGAAGAATGTCTACACGTTGAAGGAATGATTGGTGCTGTTCAACAGGGAAGATTCATCGTGGGTGGGAGTGGGATTAGAGAATTAGGGCTGCGCAATATATCATTGTCAATCATTGCTGTAATACTGGCCTTTGCAATATTGATATCGCAGAGGGCTGCAATTTGCAAATGAGGCTAATAAAAAGTTGCATTACATGCTATAAGCATCCTGACCAACCTCTGCATTTATGTGGGTGTTGTGATGAATCGAGGTCCACAAAAAAAAACCCAAATAACTTTGGTCTTATTGCAACATTATTACTGTCTTGCATTTTGAATATATCTCCAGCCATATACTAGCAATATATTTGCGATGTAGTATTTTGTATATATCATCGGAAACATTATAAAGGAGGAGACCGGTCACTGGTTGAAATATGAATGGTAAAGTTTGTAATGCTCAACATGATGTCTATTTATGAGGAAAGTCCCAACCTTCAATAAAAATAGCCTTGCTGGTTACACCGTGCGCATTGTTGAGATCTATGCAAGAGCATAGGCAGAATAACACAAAAAGACACTTTTTTGTGCGTTATTGAGTCAAACGATACAAACTATTGATGAAGTTTTGTCAGATTTTATCTATTATTATATTATGGGTCTTTCCCCACTCAAAGAGAGAGAGGCCTGGTCTTGTATGGCTGAAAATAACTGGCAGTGTTGTAAAGATGGGCGCCAAGTGAACAGGCTTTCCTATAAGGAATTAGATATCATGCAGCCCTTGTGGGGAAATTAGCAATAAATAACTTTCAGGGACAAAACAATGCATTTACTGTCCTGCATTGGGTTGATGTGGTGAAATCAAACAGTAATCATTTTCCTCTGCAATGTGTCATATGCCCTTATTCAAAGTTCCAGGAAAACAAAAAAGTTAGTTGACATGCCCTAGTGAAACAGCAAGACTTTGAGGAAGTTCATCCATTGTTTTAAATGAGCTAAACTTTCTTGTGAATAACTGACGTTCATAAGTCAATTCATGCGAGACTGTTTCAAGTCTCTGATGTGTGCGTCAAGGCTTTAGTACAACAACACTTAGTTTAGTCTTGTTATTAGCCACAGGCATTGCATTGCGTGAAAGTTAACCCCTACTAAAAACCTGTCCAGTTTGACACAAGTTCAAATAACAAGGCTTTTAGTATAGAAAAACCTTCAATCTGAAGGAAGTGCTACACAGTAAATATAGTATTTAAAGGAAAGATAAAACATCAAATGGTTGTTTACTCTGTTGTTTATATAGTATGCTAGCTAGCTTGACAATCCAGCTGAAGTTTTAGTAAGTTTTAAAGGGAGGAGGTCTGCAACTAAAACTTCAGCTAGATTAGCAGACACCGTAATAGCGTGTACGCTAGCTAGCATACTTGCTATCAAAAGTACATGCTAGCCAGCCATTTCAAGTCGATTTTGACGTAACTCATCATGATAACAATAAATATTGTCATACTGCCCAGCTTGTGTTATCACTATGCACTGTATTGTAGCAAACTGACCCTCTGTTTTGTGTGTTCACATCTGGGGGTAGGGTGTCCTAATTTTTGCTGAGACAGAGGGGTAGGGCGAAGTGTTAGGGCTACATTGCCCTCCAAACAGAGTTTTTTTTAGAGGCACAATCCAAACAGAGTGTTACAAGAAAACCAGGAAGATGGCTGCTGCGCAAGCGACCAAAGAAACTCACAAATGTGAGGATTTTTTCCATTAAAAATTATGATAACTATTGTAGTACCTTAGTTTAATGACGTTTCAATTTACTTTGGGCCTTTTCATCATAACCAGCATAAAAAATCGCTAGTAGTATGCTGAAGTCTCGGTAGCTAGCTAGCTAAATTTCCCGTTCCACCTTAAATAGTCCAGCATTACTGACGCTTGAGGTGCCAGAATGTAACTGCTGCTCAATTTAAGGTGGAATGGGAAAATTCGAACAAGAACCTGTGATTCACTGAAGAATTAGGGGTGGGCAATAATAAGTAATCGTCACACCCCCCCCTCTTTAAAGGCATATGCCCCAAATGTAACTAAAGCCCAGCAGTGAGGTTGCTGAACTTTACCCTCCTCTGCTGTCACTGCAGACTGGCAGGGTCGCCTACAGAGCACTACTAGTAGCCTGTTAATGAAGTAATGTTCTGTTTTATCTGAGGGTCCCATTTTGTAAGGAAGGTTTCAACCACCACCCCTTGTAACTCAGTTCCAAGGGGCAAGGTGACACTCAAAAACAAGGGGTAGGGGTAAAAATAAGAAATGGGATTGGGCCTTTGACTCGACTCCACATCTCCGTTTAATAACAATCATGAAATAAGCACCGAGAAAGTCCTGAACCTGGACTATGGAAAAACATCTACAGAAACAGCATTATACGTTGATTAATGTCTTACAAGACAAAAATGGTTGTGTGATGATCCATTTAATACTCTAGATGTAGGATAGATCTAAAACATTTCTTCCAGCAACTGAAAGATCTGGATTTGTGGATTACAAAACAGAGAGAAGAAACAGTGAAGTCTGGCTCAATAGTTCACCCTGGCAGCAGGAACATCTCACATTCTGGCCAACTGTGTGACAATAAACTTGTCTATCTAATGAAAGCCTGGAACAATGAACACGTTTTGGGAGTCCTTTCAGAAACTCGTTAAACTGCAGCAACAGTCCTGTGCCTGTGTTCTGCAACAATCTCAAGATGGGAAAAGTAAAGCCACAGCGTGACTCACTCAAATAGCTTTCAACTGAAGTCATTTTTTTGTTTAACAGCTTTTTGTGATGGTTAAAAGCACACTCACTAATTTCAAAAGCCATTTCCTTAATATATGTTTCCTGGTGTTTGCATGTTTATACTTTTTTACAACACTATATAACAATGCATTGCCACCAAAGTAAAAATACCTTATATCCTGGAGAAGTAACAATGTTTTTCACGTGTGTTAATTGAGCTGTTTTATTCCAAGTAATTTCTGGCCATTTCTATTGACTGTTCATCGTGAGCTGTGACAATCTGAATTCCAGTATGTATCAGGTACAGGAGTTTTGGCATCTTGAAAATTGTTCAGTTGCTTCACACAATGTAAAAGGCAGTAGGTGTTTTCAATCGATGTAAAGAAACTGAAAAAGATGTTCAAAAAGAAGGCTTTGATAAAACAGCATCAACACGCACATCACTTATAATTAAATAATAATTGAGTTCCAAAAAATAAATACAGTACTGTGCACAAGTCAGAGACCACCCTTTATTTATTTAATTTCCAGTCAAAACAGCCTTTAAGTACAAGCTATTTATTTTCAATGTAGGAAAAAAACAAGTAATATACTAACAGAAAATGACACATAGGTATAAACAACTAACTACACATTTTTCAGTATTTAGTATATACATTCTTTGTGTTTATTATAGCTGCCTTTTTCTCAGTTTTTCAAAGAAATCTGCAAGGATATTTTTCCACATCTCGAAAGTTCAGTCCTAGAAGTTGGTTGCATTTTCTGCTTTGCA